GGATGAGCCAGAGTTTATGAGAAGATGTTACTGAGAGGACAGATCAGGAGACCTTCTCGATGAGCTCGATGCAGGCAGCTAGGTCCATCCCAAAGTCGATGAACTCCCACTCGATGCCCTCCTTCTTGTACTCCTCCTGCTCCAGCACGAACATGTGGTGGTTGAAGAACTGTTGCAGCTTCTCGTTGGTGAAGTTGATGCACAGCTGCTCCAGGCTGTTGAACTGCATAAAACAAAATTTTCAACATTAAATGGATTTTTTAGCAGTAAAATTCATTACTGAAAAATTCTTTTATTGAAAAATATGAAATACAGTAATGAAATAAAATTTAAACTAATTGTTCTTTCAGAAGTCTCAAGGAAAAAAAATGATCATTTTTTTTTGACATGAGCCTTTATTATGAATTCTGGGCATTATTTAAAGGCACAGGTATCAATTATACGCAAGACTTTTGGTAAGATCTACCCCTTCCCAGCTCTAAGATTGCATAGCAAAAGCATACATTAAAAGTACAACCATGGTCCCCATGAGTTATGGTTTGGATTTAAGGGTGAAAGTAATTTATTGGAAAGTTTCACTTCTTTTACCACCCCACTCTCCAATTGAGGATAAAGTTCACATTTTCACTCTTGGCTGTCACATAAGAAAAGCTTCTCCTAAGACCTTTTAGTTGATGTACAAAGTGGAATAATAGGCAAGTTTGTCTCGTCTTCATATCAAACATCTGGCAAATTCCCTTTGCCAGGTCTGTGAAAGTAGGGACCTGACGTGGTGTAGTAATTGATGATCTGAAAGAGTCTTTGTAATAATTTACACCCGCATTTTACACATGATGCAGCTGATACCCCAGAGGTGAAATAGTACGTGTCAGATGAACTTGGAACAGGAGAGACCATGACCTGTGTGCTTTCTCCTCCATGGGAGATGCCCTGTCTACACGTCTGGGTTCTTGTCCTGGCTTTGCCTTAGATGGTTGTGGGATCTTTAGCAAGGGTTTTCATTTTCCTGCATCTCTGTTTCTCCACATGTAATTAATAGTAATATTCGTTACCCTTTCATGGGTTGTTTTGAAGATTAAATGAGGTAACATTTTGAAGTGCTTAGTGGAGTGCCAGAAATACCCTCACTCCTCCACAAATGCCAGTTATGGTTATCATTACATTTCTGGTATTGCCTAGATATGGGGGAGGTAGTTCCTGTTCTGGGTGCAGTGTTGGAGGAAGCAATGTGGACACTGTAAATGTACAGGAATTCCTCGTATGTCAGAGCCCACGTTGTTTTTCTCTCACTTTTTGTTTTTTTTAAAAAATATTTTATTTATTTGACAGAGAGAGACACAGCGAGAGAGGGAACACAAGCAGAGGGAGTGGGAGAGGGAGAAGCAGGCTTCCTGCCAAGCAGGGAGCCCGATGTGGGGCTCGATCCCAGGACCCTGGGATCATGACCTGAGCCGAAGGCCGACGCTTAACGACTGAGCCACCCAGGCGCCCATCACTTTTTGTTAATAAGAAGACAACTCACGTCAAAGATCTCAAAGCCGGCGATGTCCAAGACCCCGATGAAGTACTGTCTGGGCTGCTTGGTGTCCAGCTGCTGGTTGATGCGGGTGACCATCCACAGGAACATCTTCTCGTAGACGGCCTTGGCCAGGGCGCCCACCGCGTTGTACACCTTCGTGGACAGAGTAGTGATTGTTGATGCTGCTGAAGACATGCTGTGAAGGCCTGGGATGGGTGTCATTCAATGAGGTCATGCACTCACCTGCTGCACAGTCTGGCCTTTGGTGACATACTCGTTGCCGACCTTGACCCTGGGGTAGCAGAGGGCTTTGAGCAGGTCAGCAGAGTTCAGACTCTGGAGATAGGCTGCCTTGTCAGCAACTGCAGAGTCACAATTCAAGAAATGTTGTTTAATGGTGGATATCCCCTTTTACCTAATTTTTCTATTTTTCTCCAATCCATTCTCTTTATTATTTAAATAAAAAGCTTTAAGTAATTCTATAGAAGGTCAGATGAGGTTCCCCGTACATTAGAGCTCATACTTGCTAATAAATAGTCAGTTACACTGGTCTTTGGGGATTATTGCAAGTAGCTTTTGAGAAATTCATCAAGAGTTAACGTGTCCAGTGTTTATGGCAACACTTTATGTAAGCAAAGGCCATGGTGCCTGCTCTTAAGGCAGACACATTAGGTGTGGTTGGAGGGAAAAGATAAATACATCGTAATATTTGCTGTTAGGGAGAGATAGAAGTCCCAATATTTGGATCCTTATTTCAGTTTTGCTCCTCCCAAGTTAAACCCACTTGTTCAGTTTCATTATCTGAAAATGTAGGTATTAAATTTCACTATGTGCCCCCTCCGGAGTCTCTTTCTGAAATTGTGCCAAGGACTGTAACGTAAATGCCACAGGTCAGGTACCACAGTAACTGCTGAAAAGTTCAGAGGAGGGAGAGAATCTTACAGGCTGGGGGGTGGGGGTCAGAAAGGCTTCAAAGAGCAGACAACTTTAGCTTCCTTGGTAGGTCCTTTATGTTCTGCACATGGAATACAGGACTTTCTTTCTCAGTTCTTTTTTTATCTGACTGCCTAGAGTGCCTGCGGGTTTATATATAGACAGAGCACACATGTGCACAGATGTCTAGGGACACCCTTCGCCCCCAGCTTTGTGCTGGGCAGCTCCTGTCTTGCCAGCCACTAGTTCACCTAGCTAGTGCTGAAGGAGGCTCACGTGCCAGGTTGGCTCGTGTATACAGGCACCGTTGCCACGGTAGAGCGGGAGCACTGTGCCATCTCTTTCTCTCTCTCACGATCTGGCCCCGGTTGTGCTTTTTAGATATGTCTTTATAAGCGCCTATTAGGGTTCGTTTTAACTTATTTGGGCTGCTTAGAAATGATGGAGATTTGGACACACAAGGGAGGAAGGGGGGTGAGGAAAGTGTGCGGTGTGTGTAGATAATGTATATGCTCTTCAGAAGTTCAGCTATGATGGAGATGTGAGTTTAGAATAGGCTTTTTTTTTTTTTTCTGCCATATTCTTTAATTCAGACCCAGAAGGAGGTTCATCTGGTACCTTCGGTGCCATCTGGCTCGGCCTGCTCCTCCCGCTGCTTCTGCTTGAACTTCATGTTCCCATAATGCATCACAGCTCCTGTGAGCTTGTAGATGGAGACTTTCTCTTCAGGAGTGAAGCCCAGGATGTCAATGGCACTCTTCCAGGAGAAATGACAGAACAAAGATTAGGGCAGAAGAGACTAACTTATTTTGGAGGATTTATACTGTGTCCTAGGGTAACCACACCTACAGTGGGCTGTTCCTGCACATAATGGAATTTTTTTTACAGTGTGTGTGTGTGTGTGTGTGTGTGTGTGTGTGACTTACATCTGTGGCCATCAGCTCTTCTTGGTCATCAATGCTGGCGACCGTGATTTCCCCTTGACTGACGAAGGCATAGTCATATGGGTTGGTGGTGATCAGGAGCATTTCTGGGTACATATAATTCAGGGTATACATTTACATTAGAAATTGTTAATAAAAATATTAATGTTCATCTATAAATTTAATGTTCATCTATAAATTCCTTACCAATCAGATCTGGCTTCTTATTGGAAGTGATCTGATAAAAAATATGGTAGCTTCTTTCTGCCTTCAGCTGGAAAGTAACTCTGGACTTTTCTAGAAGATCTGGAAATAGAAATAGATATTAAATTAGAAAAAAAATCAATGCTGCTGAAATACACACACACTTTAGATGGGGGAGAGGGAGGGAGGGAAGGGAGTGAGGTGGGACGAGGGGCAGAGGGAGAGGGAGAAAGAGAATCTTTTTTTTTTTTTTTAAGATTATTTATTTATTTGAGAAAGAGAGAATGAGAGACAGAGAGCACAAGAGGGAAGAGGGTCAGAGGGAGAACCAGACTCCCTGCTGAGCAGGGAGCCCGATGTGGGACTCGATCCCGGGACTCCAGGATCACGACCTGAGCTGAAGGCAGTCGCTTAACCAACTGAGCCACCCAGGCTCCCCGAAAAAGAGAATCTTAAGCAGGCTCCACACTCAGTGCAGAGCCTGTCATGGGGCTCGACCTCATGACTCTGAGATCACGACCTGAGCCAAAATCAAGAGTTGCATGTTCAACCAACTGAGCCACCCTGGCACCCCAATGCTGCTGAAATATTAAATGAACCTCAGTGTCTTTGCTGAGACTGGGAACATTACATTAGACTCCATTGAGATTTCTGCCTGATATATTGATCCTCTTGGTGCTGGATATAAGAATTCCAAATACATATGGTAACTGCCTAAGTTTCTTACTATCTAAGAGTAGAGACTGAAACCTATCTGCTCTAGTAAAAATAAGCTTTTAATATGGGGGACCTGTGACTTCTGTATTATTATTGATCTGTAATATGTCCTCCTTCCTCACGTCACCTGAGACTTTGTGGTGAGTGGTTACTTAGAAACACCTACCAAAGCTCAGATGAAGAGCAAGTCACAGAGAAATATTGTAAACCTATAGGTAACTCATAGGAACCTGAAGTAGCCCAAGTGTTTGTCCTGGAAAAAATACCAAAGTTGCTTCTGTGGCAGGAATTTCAGAATGTGCTCCAGAACCGCCAGTCTCCATTGAGGTTGATGGAGCACACAGTGGATTTATGGATAAGTCTGGCATTAGCTCATGGGCAACACTGGCAGCAGGCTCAGCACATGCCAAGTGTTCCTGAATATCCTGCACATGAAATCACTCGTCTGTCTTTTGATTTTTGGTGGTCCTGTTACTCACATGTTTCAATATCTGCAGAAGCTAGCTTCCCTGTGGTACCAAAGTGGATTCGAATGAATTTACCCTTGAAAAGAGAAAGATTATTTAGTATTGAAAAGTTGAAGCACACAGAAGGATGCAATCGAAATGATAATTCAGACGTGCTTTTTCTAGCATGGAAGGACCGAGAAGACCCCTCTGTGACCAGGAGACTTACAAAGCGAGAGGAGTTGTCATTCCTCACAGTCTTGGCATTGCCAAAGGCCTCCAGTAGGGGGTTGGCGCTGATGATTTGATCTTCAAGGGTCCCCTGCAAAGGCAAGAGCGGTCCTCACCTTTGGGGCTCCAGAATTCCTCAGCCCCAAGAGTCTTGAGTCTGACCCCAGACCTACCCGCATTTTGCCAGAGGTAGCTTCCTCCTTCTTCTTCTCCCCAGTGACTGCAATTGTTGCAAAGTACTGGATGACACGCTTGGTGTTCACAGTCTTCCCTGCACCAGATTCTCCGCTGTCAAACAGAGACCAGAGAAAAGATCAGAACTACTACAGCTCATGTTGTCTATGTCTAAGACAATCAAAACCAGAGAAGGGAAGAATCACGTACGTGATCAAGATGGACTGGTTCTCACGATCTGTGAAAGAGAAATCAAGACCAGCAGTTAAAAAAGAAAAAGAACATTTGATATAAAGATTATTGAGTCAGTTTAGATCAAACAGAGCTTGTTCTTTTAATATTTGCAAGATGTCACTTATGATTTTGATTTTGTGATTAGTCCCCCAAGAGTACTTGGCTCTTGGAGTAAAATTTGTGACAATGAGAGGCAAGCAATCATCTGTTTCCTTTTGTATCTTATTAATTTTAAAAACTTTGTGATGATAAATTTCAAACAGATACCAAGTAGAGACAATAACATAGAGAGCCCCCATGTCTCCATCATACAGCTTCAACAGTTATCATCACTTGGCCAATTTTATATCCTCTATACTCCTGTCCCATTCTTCCTGGATTATTTTAAAGAAAATCCCAGGCATCCTATAATGTCATCTATCAATAATTCAGTAAGAATTAATAGAATTTTGAAGTCATGAGGGATCTTAGAAAAATTCCCGAGGCCAACTTATTTAACAGATAAAGAAGCTGAGACCCAGAGAGGAATCAGTGACTTTTTGAATAATAATTACAGAGCTTGTTAATAAGGTCAAAGGTATTCAGGTCTTCTGACTGCCACTTTATGTATTTTTCTGCTACCTGGCCTCCTCCCAGCTATTGATATGACTAATTTGACTGCTGGTAACACTAAATAGGAAAGGGATCTGGAATTGTAAATATGTTCATTTAGTCTTATATTCCTTTTAATTTTATGTACATTTCTAAATAATAAAAACAGACATTGTCACTAGTTATATGACTGGTATGTTGGATTTATACCAATTTTCTGATATGTTAAATCTCCAGTTCTATTTGAGTGGATTCTCAAATCTAAAAATCTATCAGAGAAATAGATACAAATCTGGATGTTATTTCGATGTGCATATAGACTTTAGAGAACTTCAGAGTTCTCTTCAGAGCAGTAGATACAGATTTTAGAACATAGTCAAATTGATTTTTTTTCCAGTAGCAGACAAATTATGAAAGATCATATCACATCTCATGGGAGCACTGATAAGAAAAGTTCTGGTCTCTTTTGGCGATGCTAAAATAACATGAACCAGGTCAAATGCCACAGTTTAGCATGGTTTTATATGCAAATCACGTTTGGGAGCCATAAGTGATCTTGAATTTGGAGCAGCCCCAAAGCTTGGGGAGTGGAGACCTTGGCATAGAGGTGGTGGTATACAAAGCAGAGTAAGTGCAGCTGCTGAGTATTAAACCCTCCGAAACAAGCCAGCCTTTGGATCATTTCTGGAAGGTAGCTAGCTTCTGCTGACGACCAAAGAACAGTTTACTGGCATGAAATCCTTGTGGAATTGCTGGCCAATTTGTAATGGAAGATTCCTATTTTATTCCTTTCTCTTCTCTCCTCCTTTAACAGACAACTTAAAAACAAGTTCAGCAACACAAACAAAAACCAAAAAAGAACAAAACCCTCTCAGTTTCCAAAACCCTATGGAACAACAGGAAACTCTGGAATTCAGAATATATCCAAAGGCAGTACATTTGGTGTGTGAAAATAAAAGGTTTAAATGCTGTACTTGGGCCTTGGGCCTGTAATGCATATCAGAGCTGTTTGTTTATGCTTTGATAAGACAGGAATAACAGACTTTGATAGGATTTCAAAAATATTTTCAGAGGAAGAGGTATTTCTAATAGGAAAATGCTTCAGAATCTTCGGGAGGAAAGTGGTAGCTCTTTCTTTCTTTCTTTTTTTTTTTTAAAGATTTTATTTATTTATTTGACAGAGACATAGAGAACACAAGTAGGCAGAGGGAGAGGGAGAAGCAGGCTCCCCGCAGAGCAGGGAGCCCGATGCGGGACTCGATCCCAGGACTCTGGGATCA